CCCCTATGCAACCCTTACCCCCGGGGATTTTATTTTTCAACCCCTATTTCTTGATGTCCACTTTACCACCAGTGATGCCACCACAGCTTCCTGTCCTTCCGGTGGTGGAATTATTTCACCGCCCCCAGCGTGCCCCGTGCTGTGACAACTCTACAATAAAATCCTCTTCTTATCCCCCTAAAGCAAACCTCGAGCCCCCCCTCCTCACCTCGGGTCCATCCATTCTCCTCTGCGTGTAGAGTATTCTCCATCATAAGAGGGATCTCCTTATCCCAGGGGCCGCCAGCTGTTGTGGGACTACAAGTCCCATGAGGCATTGCAAGACTGATAGTTACAGACATGGACTCCCGGAGGCAGAAGCATGATGGGATTTGTAGTTAAAGCACAGCCAGGGGGGCCGGATTTGCCCAGCCCTAACCAAAGCTGATCTCCGGGAAAACTGCGGCATGATCAACTTATTCAAAGGATTTCTATTCTGTTCAGCCAGTCCTGAGGTTGACCTGGTGACCTGACTTTTTTTCTACTGCAGTTAAGCATCATAGCTTGGTCACCTCTCCCCTCCCTCCCCCGGCCTGTGACTGGACAATGAAGGAGCAGCAGAAGACTGATGAGCTCATCCTCTCCATCTGACAGCACATGTGCAGGGAATAGTGAACAATCAGTCTTCTAGTCTGAGCGCTGCCGTACAGGAAGCTGATATCGGGATGAAGTGGAGGATTTACACAGACTGTGTATTAGGAAGACATTTCATAATTTTAAGGAATACGTGAGTTCGTTCACGGGGGATATGTTTTTGTATCAGTTGGGAGTCCAGTCTCCGCACCCCTCCTGTAATAAAGACCAATCACTGCTGCTCTCTCTCCTTGTGCAGGGTGACTGGTCTTGTCTCCGCCCCCTCCTGTAATAAAGACCACTCACTGCTGCTCTCTCTCCTTGTGAAGGGTGACTGGTCTTGTCTCCACCCCCTCCTGTAATAAAGACCGCTCACTGCTCCTCTCTCTCTCCTTGTGCAGGGTGACTGGTCTTGTCTCCGCCCCCTCCCGTAATAAAGACCGCTCACTGCTGCTCTCTCTCCCTGTGAAGGGTGATTGGTCTTGTCTCCGCCCCCTCCCGCAATAAAGACCGGTCACTGCTGCTCTCACTCCTTGTGAAGGGTGAGTGGTCTTGTCTCCGCCCCCTCCTGTAATAAAGACCGGTCACTGCTGCTCTCACTCCTTGTGAAGGGTGAGTGGTCTTGTCTCCGCCCCCTCCTGTAATAAAGACCGCTCACTGCTCCTCTCTCTCTCCTTGTGCAGGGTGACTGGTCTGGTCTCCGCCTCCTCCTGCAGCTTACTGTAGTGGGTGGGGCCTGCTGCCCCCTCACACAGTTCTCTGCGCAGGCTATGGACAGCACAGTGATGATGTCACTACTATTTTTACAAGGTAATATCCGGGTTTGTAAACGCACGTGGTGCACACAAAGTGGATTTATATCCCTTCTGGCTATTGAGGAATATATGTAATTGAGAGTATGCCTTATTGTTTTGAAGTGGGAAGAATTAGGACCCCCGTCTGTCCAAATTTATTAGAACAAAGTCATACATTTCTGACATCTCCATCATTTTTTCCTTCTGGCAAACGATTCCTGTAACTTGTCAGAGTAAATACAGAAGTGGTCTCCCTGCAGGTGACTGACATCTGACGTGCCCCCCTGCTGAGCCATACCGAGCGGGGAGAATGATCGGAGAGCTCCAGATCTGACTTAGCAGTCGGTGTGTTGGACCTCTGCAGAGAGACCGCTGCCTCCACGGAGAGAACCATTGGCCTTCTCCGCAGCATGCTGGCCGGGCTTTTTGCTCAGGATGTGGCTGCTTTCTAAGGGAAATGAGCTGGAAGATTTCACGCCGCTTTTGTGTTGATGCAACTCGGAGTGTATTTAGCTGATTTGCACTTGAAAGTTCATCTGGGCTTTAAAGGAGAACTACGGGGTCAGTTTTTTTCCCCATAGTTCTCCTAAGGGTCACAGGAGGACATATACTAGCGTCCTCCCGTCACCCAAAGCTCAGTATATAGGGAGCTACAGCCCGCGGTATACTTAGACGCCGCAGCCGGGACGGATCCCGACAATTCTGTCTGGATCCACCCAGCTGTGTGAGTGACAGCTGGCTCCGCCTATCCAGAGCCAGAGCCAGCTGTGCCCGCCCCCTCCCCCGTCCGTTCCGCCAGTCAGCGATGGAGGATCTGAGCGGGGAGGGGGGAATCCAGTCCCTCCCCTGTCACGGCTCTCTGCGCAGATAGATCGAGAGGTGAGCGAGCGCCGGTATGTGTTCTCTCACCTCCCGATCTACTGAGCCGACCTGTGACAGTCTCATTGTCACAGGTCGGCTAGAACTATGAGGACGAGTGATAAGCCCCTCCCCCCCCCTCATAGTTCTCCTTTAAGAAAATGCGATTTCATATCTCCGATCAATGAATGCAGTTGAGATCTCTGGGATCTATCCGGTTGTGTTATTATGACATGCACAAGGTTTGTATATAATAAGCGTTGGGGGTGGGCAGGAAATGGGGGGGGGGAGTTTGTTAAGCGCGAGCTCAGCATTAACGCCATTGGATGGGAATGACATCAGCGCTCGGTGTTCTGTTATCCGATCTACTTCCTGCATGCTGGCTCATGTATGTCACAGAAGCCAATCTTCAGGTCCTGAGTGTTTCCGAGAAATCATTACAATGTTTTTTACATTGACGCTTGACATTAAGAACTGAAAATGAAAGTTAGTTGTCAGGGAATCTGGGTGGAGTCGTCGCCTCTGGATGGAGGTTACAGTGGACGGACGGCGGAGAGAAGGTGAAGGAGCTCAGGAGGAGAGCCGGGGGTAATATAAACCGAGAAGGTGAGAGGATTCCGCTCTGCAACATTGTAATATTGTAGTTTTGTTTAACCTCACGTTAGCCCATCGAGGGTTACATCTAATTCTTCAGATCTCACATTCCGAGGGTAATCTAACCCTAATCCCTTATCCCAACCCTAACCCTTAACTAAACCATAATCCCTTAACCTAACCCTAATCCACACCTCTAATTCCTTATTCCTAACTCTTAACCTGAAACAAGCTCCTTATCCCTAACCCTTAACCTAAACCCTTATCCCTAACCCTTAACTAAACCCTAATCCCTTATCCCTAACCCTTAACCTAACCCTAATCCCTTATCCCTAACCTAACCCTAATACCTTATCCCTAACCCTTAACTAAACCTAATCCATTATCCCTAACCCTTAACCTAAGACCATCCCCTTATCCCTAACCTAACCCTAATCCCTTACCCTTAACCTAACCCTAATCCCTTATCCCTAACCCTTAACCTAAGACCATCCCCTTATCCCTAACCTAACCCTAATCCTTTATCCCTAACCCTTAACCTAACCCTAATCCCTTATCCCTAACCCTTAACCTAACCCTAATCCCTTATCCCTAACCCTTAACCAAACCCTAATCCATTATCCCTAACCCTTAACTAAACCCTAATTCCTTATCCCTAACCCTTAACCTAACCCTAATCCTTTATCCCTAACCCTTAACCAAACCCTAATCCATTATCCCTAACCCTTAACTAAACCCTAATCCCTTATCCCTAACCCTTAACCTAAGACCATCCCCTTGTCCCTAACCTAACCCTAATCCCTTATCCCTAACCCTTAACCTAACCCTAATCCTTTATCCCTAACCCTTAACTAAACCCTAATCCCTAACCCTTAACCTAAGACTATCCCCTTATCCCTAACCCTTAACCTAAGACTATCCCCTTATCCCTAACCCTAAACCTTTCGCAAACCCCATAACCATTAGCATTTCAGCATTCAGGTTACCCTTAAGCAAGAACCTAAACCCGAATATTAAATTGCACCTATCATGGGAAACATATTTAAAGGCTCCTTTCTAGAATACTTTGTGCCTGGCTGTCTCTGGCGCCGATACTTTCTAAGTCCCTGAAACAGGACACATAGGCCACCAAAATCCCAGGCAGGTCAGAACTCCTCACCTTTGGATTCAAAGTACTGAAATGACTCCCGGTGTGACTCCCTTTCTGTAATTTAGTGTGAAAAGGAAAAATCCCCCCCCCCACCCCTCCTCCACCTGATATTGTTCTTTGTGTGTCTTTTAGGAAATGGCGGGACTTCACACGGCCGGATCGCTGTTGAAAGGCATCTTCGCTGTCGCTAATGCCATCTACCAACAGCGGGCGCAAGCCAAGTCCAACAAGAAGATGTGTAAGCGACTGGAAGGGAGGATCAGGCTGCTCATGGTGCCCCTAGATAAGCTACAGAGAGACCCGGACAGAACCACGGGGATGGAAGACATTTTGAAGGCTCTCCTTTCCAACCTGGAGCAAGCCCACCAATGGGTGGAGACGTATTCCAAAACAGGATGGTGGAAACAGTTCTTCCTGGCTGTCGGCATCTACAGAAAGTTCTTCCACATCAATGACCAGCTAACTGAGACGGCGGAAGCCTTACAAATCCTTATAGCGGTGGAAAGAAGGGAAGAGTTTGTCCAGATGTTCAGGGAACCCTTCTGGAAGGCTATTAAGGAAGATATTGACAGCTTTAGGCAATTATTAGAGAGTAAGTATGGTGTCACCACACCAGAGCCGGAACTAGCTCCTTTTGTGCCCGAGGCAAGAACAGAACATTGTGCCCCCCCCC